GTATGCCTGTATATTAAAATTTGCAGATCATTTTATTTGTTTGACATATATCTCCATGGATTTTTTTAGTGAAAGCTCTTTCCTGCAATGCATACATAAGGCAGTACGATCTCCCATAGTTTTGGCCATTTTTAATATTATATATATATATATATATATATATATATATATATATATATATATATATATATATATATATATATATATATATATGTGAGTAATCTCTAGAAACTATTTGCCATAAAACATTCTTCTCAAAAAAATTACAGGTTGTTGGAATCACTGGATTAATTCTGACAAAGCTGGATGGCTCTGCTCGCGGTGGATGTGTGGTATGATTCCAGTTTCTTCAATTATCGGCTTGTATTAACTTCTTCACAAAGGCAATAGCTGTACTCAGAATTTGTTAACAAAGTCTTCGTTTGGTGATATAGCTGCTTGATATTGATTCTATTGCAGGTCAGCGTGGTAGATGAGCTCGGTATTCCTGTTAAATTTGTTGGTGTTGGTGAAGGAGTAGATGACCTCCAACCATTCGATGCCGAAGCCTTTGTTGATGCCATTTTCTCTTGATTAAGCAGGCTCAATCAAGCTTATGACGAAGCCTTGTACGGTTGCTTAAGGATTGCGCAGAGTTTGGCTGTGCAGTCTTGGCTGTGCTTTACTGTCAGATGGTTCAGTTTTGTGCAACTTCGACGGCATGGAGAGCTGAAGACCTCCATATATCATATCTCAAAGGTTGTTCAGAGAAGCAGTCCATATCTGGACACTCTTTGGAAACTTTGTAATGAAATCATATATCTGTGCCAGAGACAGATTAGTGCTCTTTTATGTGATCTTGATGGAAACAAGACCTGCAGCATTGTCAACTGTACTATCTTTTTTAGTTCATTCTCTGCTCTTAAGAGTTTTGACACAGTTAAATACTTCTGTTTCCTTTATTCTCTCCTTCTTGGCATTCAATTCTATTAATGATTAGAAATATCATTTGATTGCGCCTTTCGATTTGCGATTGGTGTATTAAAGATTGGGTTGATCGACAACTTAATATATGTAAGTTTATCGGCTGAGTTGAAGTTCAATCTCGTTAGCCTGACTTAGATTTATTTTGTGGAAGATAAAAATACGAATAATCGATTGAGGAGCAATTTTGTTGGCTTATCAATAAAATAAATTTAATTAGTATAGAATAATTGATGGAGAAGTAATTTAGTTGACCTATCAATAAAATAATTTTAATTAGTTTAAAGATTCCTGTTGTCACATCAACCTCTACTTTTAAAAAAATCAGATCATTGAAGATTATAAATCTTGATTAAATATCTTAAATATTCATAAGTTTATCAAAAATATTATATATATGTATAATCTTGTTCGAATGAAAGATGATATTATATATTTAACTTGATGTGATTGTATTTTTTATTTTTATATTTGAGCTTATAAAAATAAATTAAAACATTATGATGCATCAATCATAAATGAATCAATAACTCAATGAGTGAGTGATATAAAACCATACTTATGATTTCAATTCTATCGTCGTGCGACGTAATGCGCGAGATATTCGATCTTAAGAGTTTTTATATTTTTTATATATCTTTTGATAAAATTTATTTATTTTTATTTCTACTAATCTACGATAAGAAAATTCAATTATTAAATAAATTACCATCGAATAAGGCATCGCCTTTATCACATCAAAACCCGAAAGAAAAGGATGTGCATGAAGCATACAATAATCCCATAAGAGTTAGAATCACATATAACGAATCAAACACCGAGAGCATATGGTTTCACGTGATCTTAAGACCATTATCGACAGTACCGAGAATAGCTTCGACGAGCAACAGCAGATTCCGATGCAGCAAAGCATCAAGCTTCAGAGAAAGGACACGGAGATGCGAACCGTGAAGCAACCCACTGGCGACGGAGGTCGACCCCATGCTTTCTTATTTTGGCTTACCTCACTGCTCATAATTCACGGTGGGAATAAAGAAACGATCAGTTCTGAGTCATCTCCCCTCTACTTTAATGAGCTTGTGGCGATGAAACCTGTGCACTACTTGTTCTTATCGAGGATGTCCCAAGCAACCTGTTCTTGATTGCAACAAGTGAATCTGTGATGCGACAGCAGCATCAGATTGACTTGGCTTCCACCATCAATCTGCACACCGTATGTCGACATGCTCTCCTTGTTTTTTTGGGTGCCAAGGAATCTTCAACAGTGCACGGCAAGCATCATCTCATCGCCATGGAGAACAGATAAATTAGATGCTTACCGCTTTTGTCGATTCTTGTAAGTAATAGACCTCAGAAAGTTCACAAAATTATATATATATATATATATATATATATATATATATATATATATATATATATATATATATATATATATATATCTGTCTTATCTCATCATATAATATGATCGGATATTACTGGAATGTAAAGAGTTTTGTCAAAATCAAAAGAGTAGAAGGTTGATTTTATAAAACAAAGAGTATCGAACCTTTTTATATAACCATTTAGATTTATTATATGTCATATAATCATAACATTAATTAAAAAGAAACCATGAAATGTAAATGAGAGGTTACACTTCAGAACCGATAAAAAAAGATATAAAATCTTTAGGATATAAAATTAAAGATCAATAATAAAAATGATAAAAAAGATGAACCTAATGCACTAGTGTCACGGACTTGATTAGTTTTATCTAACACTCTTGCATGTTTATTTACCATCAAATTCAATTAAAATAGGACTATTAAGATTTCGATCGTTCCTCTATATGTTGTGCAAAGCATGAATAAACAGAAATACACGAACATACATAAGTACTACGTTAATTGTTAAAATGGTTAAATAGTATTAGAAAATCTTAAGAGTTTCCTCACTCACAAATCCAAATATATTTAAGAAGAAACAGAAACAGAAAAATGTAATCAAGTGGCAGGGCCTCCTCAGTCACCCAATGCCAATCCCTTATGATACCCCCTTTCCTAAGTTGCATCTGAGGTACAGTGGATTTGCTCATCATCAGCATCCTATAAATCATTTTATTTGTGTGGGTCTTTGGATGGATGATGTGATGTCATGTGCCCTCCTTTTATTCCCCGACACATACTGGCCCACCCAACCAGGTGTGATGCTGCTTGAGAGGGACTTGATCAGCTGAGTCAGACACCATCGGACGACAAGTCTCCTTATCCTTGTGTGCTGTGGTCCTCAAGTTTTTGGTTCTTCCTTGGTGACTTCTCTTCTCTGTTGACCACAAGGCTCAGTTGCTGAGTCGGAAGGTGCACATCAGCAAATTAATGTTTGTGGCATGGCATGTAGAGGCTTTATCTGCTTGTGTTGGTCCGACCTTGACATTTTAATGCACCTGCTGCAGGCAATGTGAGCACCGACTACGCTCATGTGGCCATGCATTCCGGCTGTAGAGAACCTGCTTGATGGAATGATTGACCCACTCGACGAGTATGGCAGAAGAGCAAACGGATCACCTCGGAGTACAGGCACACAAAGAGTAGTAGTTAAGATCCACCGTGCACAGGAGCAAATGCTGACGACGACTCTTAATCGGTCCCCATCGTATCGAGTTATCTGGTGGCCTCGCTGCCGGATGCATGTCGCTTGCTACATCACCATTGCGCAAGTGGCTTGCTTGAGAGTACTTTTAATCGACAAGGATTCGGCAGTGGAGTGTCTTGCGGATGATAAATTGTGACAGAAAAGCCACTGAAAAGAACAACTATTGTGCAGGCAATCATCCAAGACATGTATATTTGTGATCAGGAGCTTTTGTCACTTAGTGAACAAAAGCACTGGATGGGGAATCAGCACGGTTACGTGTGCGAGCCGATGTCAGGAACCTCTGGTGGATTGGGTGGATTGAGTAGGATGATAAGGTGGCTGCACCTCTTGAACGTCTTAGCGAGTGTCGGACCGACGAGGTCGGTTGGGACCTCGTGAGTGGATGTGGGTCGCGTTCTTCCGTCCCCGGGATGGTTGACAATTTATCTTCACGATGCAGGCGTGTCCTCGAGAAGGGGTGCTAATTGGCATAGGTCGGGATCCGGGCCGACGGGCTGCTCTCCTTCTACGCACCGGATGGCGGTTCCCGGGTGGAGACGCTCACTGCTCGGGGGTGGCCACCCCCAAAAATGGCCTTCGTCGAGTATTTCCCGACTTTGGCCCCTCCGACGAGCAAGTTAGTGGAGTTTTTATATTTTCCTCCCTTTTTTTCTCCCCCCGGCCGAGTGCCAGATAAGAGTTTTTTATACCATCGTGCAAGGATCGATTCCGCCTTGATTCGACGTGACCGCTGACTTTCGTTGGGGTGGAGCGACTTCTCTGACGAATTAGCGTCTTTGGGGGTGCCTGAGCGGCATCAGACGGTACCGTCCCGAGCTCTCGGGGTAGTCATGTCGCACAGTGTATCGGTACGGGACCCGACGTGGTGTGCACCCCGGGGTTCTGATGACGTATGGCGTTGGATTCGTGGCTGGTGGCGTGTGACGTCAATGGTGATTCATCATGTGTCAAAATATGTCTTATCACCTAGATGAGGGATAAGGCCTCTGGGGGAGGGCATGACTCGGTTCATGATCTGTGGTGACAGGTAGGAGGTCCCTTTCAAGCCATTGCAGCTGCGAAGATGATCGTTCCTCGAATCGCTGTCACTCCATCGGAGAAAAGAACTCTTCTGCTTGCCATGATCCTTGGTTTGAGGAGTTGTTGCAGACAAGGGAAAGGAGCAAATGTCACAGTCTGATGCTTCATGACAACGATAATGTTGATATGGTTATCAGAGTAAACAACACGGAGCAGTAGCACAGCCAATGCAGCCAGTGCTGCTGAATCGTAGGGATATGCCTCGAAGATACTTCCTTAGTCAGATTGGTCTTTCAGCATTGCAGTGAATGCTAGTGGAATAAGCTGAGTACATAGACAGGGCAATAATTCCACGTAAAACTGAACCACGCAGTTGACGCCAGCCATGATTCGACGGCCGCCACCTCGTCCCCCTTCCGTCCTGACCTGCACCGGCTTCCTTCTTACCCTTCGTGGCGGCGGGCGCTCCGCTTAATTTACTTTGGTTTGCCCCCAACAGTAATTACGCATTTGTTTATGGTGTGTTGGTTTCGTCTGCTGGCTTTCCTCGCTCTATATATACACCCTCAGACCTTCACCCCAACACAACTCTCGTCTCTCAAACCGGCTCTATATATACGCATCTGTTCATGGCATCCGCGGTTGACGGCGGGTGGCTCGTGTCGCTTCAGGTTGCCGCTAAATGTGGTGGGCTCTCCGCCGACCCCGCCCGCCTCCTCTCTCTCGCTGTTGCCGTAGCGATCTGCTGCCTCGCCACTCTCCTGCTCCACTGGGCCTCCCCGGGTGGCTCCGCCTGGGGGAGGTACTGGTGGAGCAGGCGGCGGCCCTGGGGCCTCGGCCACGCCATCCCGGGGCCCCGGGGCCTCCCCGTCCTCGGGAGCATGCGCCTCATGTCCGGCCTTGCCCACCGGAAGCTCGCAGCAATGGCTGACGTCATCCCTGGCTCTCGGCGGCTCATGGCGCTCAGCCTTGGTGACACACGGGTGGTCGTCACCTGCGACCCAGAGGTGGCCAGGGACATTCTCAACAGCCCCGATTTCGCCGACCGGCCGGCCAACGAGTCGGCCTACGGGCTCATGTTTCACCGCTCCATAGGTTTCGCCCCCTACGGCGCCTACTGGCGCGCTCTGCGGAGAATCGCGGCCACCCACCTCTTCTCACCCAAGCAGACATCCGCCTTCGCGCGCCACCGCGCCGACATCGCCGGCCAGATGGTTAGGGCCCTGAACGGCCTCGTCTCTCGGCCCGTCCAAGTCCGAAGGATTCTGAAGCAAGCCTCTCTCAACCACGTCATGTGGTTCGTCTTCGGGAGGCAGTACGAGCTCGAGCAGGACACCGAGGAGATGAGGGAGCTGAGAAGCTTAGTGGAAGAAGGCTACGAGCTCCTGGGCCAGCTCAATTGGTCGGACCACCTACCGATGCTCACCGGTCTGGACCTGCAGCGCGTTCGGTCTCGCTGCTCCGGGCTCGTCCGCCGGGTCGACCGGTTCGTCACCCGCATCATCGAGGAGCACCGAGTCGCGCGCGCGCGCGACTCGGAGGCCGCTCCCGCTCCCCGAGACTTCGTGGACGTTCTGCTGTCCCTGCAGGGCCCCGATAAGTTATCTGACACCGACATGGTCGCCGTTCTCTGGGTATGCTTACCTCTCCCAAAGGAATTTATGGTTATATGATTAGAATTATTAATCGAGAAATTATAATAATAGAATTAACGACGTGGAAAAAATTATATAGGAGATGATATTCCGGGGTGCCGACACCGTGGCGGTGCTGATAGAGTGGGTACTCGCGCGGCTGGTGATGCACGGGGAGGTGCAGGCGAGAGCGCAGGCGGAGCTGGACGCGGTGGTGGGCGAGGACCGGGATGTGACGAGAACCGACGAGGCGGGGCTGACGGTGGCGCATCTACCGTACCTGCAGGGGGTGATAAAGGAGACACTGAGAATGCATCCTCCAGGCCCGCTGCTGGCGTGGGCCCGCATGGCCACGTCGGACGCGCTCGTCGGCGGGGCCCTCGTGCCTGCGGGGACGACGGCGATGGTGAACATGTGGGCCATCGCGCGCGACCCGGCGGTTTGGCCGGACCCGCTCCGGTTCGATCCCGGCCGGTTTACGGACCAGGCGGCCGAGTTCCCGGTGATGGGAACGGACTTGCGACTGGCGCCGTTCGGGGCCGGGCGGCGGAGCTGCCCCGGGAAGGGGCTAGCCATGGCCACGGTGGAGCTCTGGGTGGCGGCGCTGGCGCACGAGTTCGAGTGGCTGCCTCCGGACGACGGCGCGGCGACGAGGGAGCTCGACCTCTCGGAAGTGCTGCGACTCTCCTGCGAGATGGCGGTGCCGCTGACGGTAAGTCTGCGACCGCGACGGGGGTTGGCTTGATGGGAGGTGGTGCGCCGCCCTCAATGTATATACTATGGTTAACGATGATTGCAGTGGCTTCTATCTTTTAGTTTTACTTGTGTATGATATTTATGTGTAATTATGAAAGATAATATATACATAAATTCCCCTAATGTCAATATTTTTGCATGTATTCTTTCCAAACCTAAAGCTTAGATACGGCGTGTGCGGGCACGCGTAAATATATCCTCAATATTGATATATCAAAAGAAAATTGTTTCTTATTAATCAAATCAATAACACACATATATATATATATATATATATATATATATATATATA